CCCCCGCCGTTTCCCACACAGCGCTGCGGAGCCCCCAGCCAACCCCGCCTCCTCGCCAGAGCCATTGGCCGCCCGCCGCCCGCTTTACCGCGACCATTAGCCCGAACGCACTTCCGTCACGGATGCCCCGCCCCCTCCGTTACCCATACAGCGCAGCGAAATCTCCGGCCGCCCGCCTTCTCCCGTCGCCACTGGCCGCCCGTCCCCTGCTTTCCCGGAACTAGTGGTCCGCTTGTACGTCCGTCAAGATCAATACCGCCCTCGCCGCTTCCTGCTGAGCATCTCAGAGAAAGCTGCCACTCCGCCCACTATCCGGCAGTACTGCTGCTCTCGCCCGCCCGCTGGCTGTCACCATTGGTCGCTGCCGCCTGTCCTCCCAGTTCCATTGGCCTGATCGCACGTCCGTCACGGCCCCACTAGGCCGTCCCACTGCCCCCTGCGTTCCGCCCCATTCCTTCTCACGCTCACCAATGAGTAGTTTGGAACTCGGAGTTTGTTTGCATACGCGCCCTTCCCGTCCGCTGCGGGGAGCACGAGGGTGGTGGTCCACGGGGTGGGGCGACGCGGAAAGGGCCGGGAAAACTAAACTCCTAGCAAGCTGTGGCCGACTGTTTTCTCAGAATCGCAGAGGAGGGGGCGTGTCCTGGGGGTGTGATTGAGCGGGAGCGGCCAATCTTTACTCGAGGAGCTCGGGGGCGGGACTTCCGTTCTCAGAGAGCTGGGGGCTGGGGCGACAGCGAGGTGAGAGAGAGAGACTGTTGGTTCCCGAGGACGGCGGCGGGACTGGGGGACTGTGAAGCCGGGCGAAGGACAGCGCACACGGGCGTGGTCGACGAGGCCGTGAGGGCCCTCCCGCCCACAGTCCGCCCGGACTATCGAAGCTCCTACCCTCCCCGGCGCTCGGCTGCAGAGACTCGGGGGGAAAGCGGGCACGAGTCCCCGGGCAAGGGGCCCCTCGGGTCACAGGCTGTGAAGAACTCCGAGGGCCGCACGTGGGTTTTAGTCTCTCCAGGGCATCGTAAGCACGGGCTCCGTCCCCAGGTCCTGGGGCCTGCGGCTGTGTGCAGAGACCCAGGAGGGCCTAGGACTGGGGTGGGGGCCGCCAAGCCTTGATGCCGTGTTTACAGGGTGAGTGGGTTATCTTCTTCAGTGGGCAAAAAAGTACCACTGATGACGCGCTGCGCAGTTTCAGCCTGTGAATTGTAAATTCAAGCAAAAGTAACACTTTTCCGAGCACCGGGGACCACGTCTCTATGGGCCAGTGTTGGGGGGCCCGTTTGTGGACAGGCAGGCAGTGGCACGTCTCCCCTTGCCTGCAGACGTCCTCAGATGGGCTCAGTGACCAGTGCAAAGAATCCCTCCGCTGCAACATGTGACTGTCGGTGAGACTGGAGACGTGGGGTTGGAAACGGTGTGCAAGCCCCCCCGGGGGCAGCAGCATGTGCTTGGGCTGCAGGGCGTCGAGTGACTCTTCATTGAATCATTGATGATGTGTGACTAAAAATAAGTAACTCAAGAAATTAAACATAACTACCCTACAATTCACAATTCACTCCAAGGGGTCTCTACCCAAGAGAGCCGAAAGTAAATGTCCAAACAGAAGCGGATGGCGTGTAGGGCAGGTGTGGCAGGTGGCCTGGGCACCACCACACAGGCTGCCTGTTCCGGTCACTGGCTGGGAGGTCATTCAGGTTGAAACTGGTGGCCATGGGTGCTGTTTTCCAGAGGCCCCATTTCTGCACAGTTACTTTTCCATGAGCGTGGTACAGTGCATTACCTGGTCTGGCTCTTGTAGCTGTGGTCTTTGTCACTCCCACCAGATGACTGGTTGGGACTATGCAAACGTGAGGTGTTTGTGGTCTGCCGAGGGGACTGGATAGCTGGTTAACAATGGCAATAAGGTACATGGCGCCCTGACGTGTATGGAACCCTAATGTGGGGATTGGTCGGTTCTGCCATTCCACTAGGCTTAAAATGACACCTTCCCAGAGGTGGAAAAGGGGGACCTCACTACCACCACCAAGGAGCAGCTGGGAGTTGAGTGCGTCCTTGACCCCGAGATCCCTGTGCTAGATTTCCTTGGCAGAGGGACAGCAGGGAGACAGCTGCAGAACGAGACAGAGTGGAGGGCTTGCTAGGCCACAGAGTGAGAAAGCCGAGTGCCTTTGGGCCGGAGGCTTGCTGGCAGGGTGGGGTGCACCTGCTGGCAGAGCTAGAAGAGTTTTGTGATACTTGCCTGAGCAGGGCAGAGCCAGGGGCCAGAGAGGTGTGCTTGAAGGACATGCCTGAGGGGAGACTGTCCTGATCTGAGAACCATATCCTGTTCCTTCCCTAAGAAACCCCGTGATCCTGAGTATCGTCTGTGAGGTCTTTGTGGCCACTGCAACACATCATCGAACCCAGTGAGTGTGGTGGGGTGTCAGAACTGGTATAAAGGCCGGAAGGTGTCAGCGTGCCTGGCCTCACAGGAATCCACCTTGGGCTGGTGCTGCTGGTCTTGTGAAGTTAGAGGGGGTCAGATGACACCCCCACCCCGTTTGCCCTGAGTGTCACAGCCAGAAAGTAGAGAAGCCTGCGTTTTTCTTCGGCGGACGGTAAACACTGTGGTCTGTCCACACGACAGACTGTCTCTCGGCTGTGAAGAGTGATGGAGGTGACACAGGCTACGGCACGATGAACCGTGACAACACGTTGATGGTGAAAGAAGCCAGACACGAGAAGACAAGCATTCTGTTTTCATGGACTACCTAGAAGAGGCAAACGCACAGTCGTGAACAGACTCGAGGTCCCCAGGGGCTGAGGGGAGTGGAAAGCTGTTTAATGGAGAGTATCTGTGGAGAGGGTGGTGGGCTGACAGTGTCAGAAGTAAACGCAGCTGAAGGCTGCACCGCAGGCAAGGGCTGTGTGGGTCTGGGGATGGCAGGGCGGGGCGGACGGGACAGGTGTGGGAGGCACTGGCTGCCACCTTGGTGCCTAGGAGATCCCACGTCCTGGGGATATCAGGGCCGGGTGAGGAAGCTGCCCTAGGGCCCTGGAGGCCAGAGGATAGGAGGGAAGGGTGCGTAGGTCAGTGTGGTCAGGGAGTGTGCCTGCCCTACTTGGAGCTGGAAGGTTCTGGGTGATGCACCCTCATCCTAAGGGGCTTTAGCTCTGCCCTGGAGCCCCCTGCACCAGGAAAGACTACCAGGCCTCTGAGCGTGGCATGGCAGGCCCACCCCAGGGAAGGCCACAGCCAACACATATACTTGCACCTGTGGAGGCACCTCTCAGAACAAGCCACGTGGAACCAGCTGTCCCACTGCCCCACGAAGGGGAGCTTGGAGCCCTGCCCACTGCAATGACTGTCTGTCCCCAACCCCTACCCTGGACCAAGACGCACTGCCCATGTCCAAGGGAGAGACACAGATAGGCAGCTCCAAAACAGGCTTTATTGTCACAGTGGTGGTCACTACCCCACCCTGTCCCTGCTGTCTGCTGCGAATGCACTGCGGCAGGTGGGCCCGGGCCGGGTTCCACCCCCTTCCTGCCTGCAGCAGATGCAGCCTACACACTAGGCCATTTCACTTGGCACCATCCCACACACACCCCCAGCCCCAGCTCTGCTGCCCTAGCAGGAATGCATCCCAGGGGTACCCGTGAGGGGCACCTACTGTGTGGCACAAGTGCAGGGCGGCGGAGGACCTGGCCTGCAGCTGGGGGCCCGGCCTCGAGCAGAGGGACGGACGGTCTGAGTTCCTTCTGCAAAGCACCGTCTCCAGGAAGCGCTGGGGCAGGTGCCTGCTCCTCAGGCATGTGGACTGGCCACTGGGAGCTGGTTTGGGTGGGAGGCAGAGGCTGCTCTGATGCCCCAGTGGGGCAGTCACCCCTGCTGAGGCCCTGGGGGAGACGAGTGGAGCCATGGCCCGAGAAGTGCGCCCTTACGAAATCCGTCCATCCCTGTGTGACCGGCCAGCACACCCACGGGGCAGCGCTGACCACACAGAGGGGAAGACGGTGGCTGGCACATCGGGTGGCCACGGGTGGCAGACAGGTGCCCCCAGGGATGAGCTCTGGGGGCATCAGCAGCCAGTAGGCTGGTGACCAGACGGGCAGAAGGTGGATCCCAAGGCAGACGGTGCTAGTGACACAGCCTGGCCAGGCAAGCTCATCCTGCTCGTGACCTCAGGTCCCAGGGAACCAGGGGCAGGGAGGCGCACAGGCAGCTCCTGGCCCAGCACCACGAGGGGCAGTCACTGTCCAATAGTCCACACGGCCCTGGGCAGAGCAGAGGCTGCCAGGGCTGGGTGGCAGTGGGCCTCAGTCCTGCCGGTCCCCCTTCTGCCTCCAGGGGTAGACAAGCTCCCCGAGGAAGAGCTTGCGGCACAGTGAGCTCCAGGAGAGCCCAGGCCGGCAGCCACAGCTGGGGAGGCGGTAGGTGCGCACCACATGGCTGTACGGCAGCGGGTTTATCTGCGGAAGCAAGGACGCGCTCAGACGATGGCGGCAGCAAAGGGCCCGGGTACAGCCCCGAACTGCTGGGCTTGGGGGCTCTTGGGGAAGAGGGGCCTGGCTGGGACAACTGTGGGCGGGGCCAGCTGAGTCCCGGATGCGGCTCCCTATGTACGAGCCCGGGGCGTCCTAGGAGAGGGAGCACTAGGCAGCCAGCTCTCTGCTGGTTCTGGGCAGGCTGGCAGGGACGTGGTGGGGATGAGGCTGGGCTGAGAGCGCCAAGACCACTGGCCCCAGCCTCCCCAGCACCCAGAAGTGCCTGCTATCCGGGTCCCTTCACTGCCTCAGCTGCAGCCAGCCCATTGGTGGGGCCGCCAAACCCTGCCTGCCTGGACCCATCTACTGGCACTCAGGTTACCCAGCCACTCCCCGCTCCCAGGGATGGGCAGCACTTGGCTGTTGAGGTATGGGAGCCAGCCATCCAGGCCAGGTGGCCAAGTCCAGGACCACAGTGCACCTGAGCAGCCAGGGCCGGGCCAGGTCAGCAGAACAGGAGCCCTGGGGCCCACTGCCTGAGGGCACCTGACTCAGTGAGAGGATCCCCCAGCGGGTTAGGGCCACCCTGCAGTGCAGTCGTGGGGAGGGTAGGAAGCTCAGCCCCGCTGAGGGGCTCTGGGCGGAGGGGGGCCACAACACCTGGAGGCCTCCAGGTGAGGGCTCTTCTGTGGGCCCCAGTGCACACCCCAGGGCCCCACACCGGGCGGCACTGACGGGTGGTGCCAGGCCGGGGTCCCAGCCACAGGCAGTGGGGACACATCACCTGCATCAGGAGGCGGAGTGGCTTGCCAGCTTCATGCCCTAAGACCCGGAACTTCACACCAGCTGAGATAAGAGGGAGGGACATGAGGGGGGCAGCACTGCTGAGTCCTGGGACCCCCCCAAAGCCCCCCAGACCTCAGCCTGGCTGGCAGGGGCAAGGTGTCGGGCAGCACCCACCACGCCCCGGCCCTGCATTGGACTCCCAGCCTGGGAATCCTGGGGAGAGAAGCTAATCACCAGCTGAGGGAGAGGCCAAGACGGGTCCCCCTCATGGGTCCCCAGCCCTCGCCCACAGCCCGGCACCCACCAGCAAGCCTGTAGGGCCGGCACAGCCGCAGACAGAGCGAGTACAGCGGCAGGGAGTTGACGAGGTCCACGAACAGATGGAGCAGGCCCTGCACGGTCACCACCAGGAGCCGGAGCTGCAGCAGACAGAGCTCAGGGCCCACAAGGCTGACGGCGCCCAACAGGCCCTGCAGGGCCAGGGGGCAGCCCAGCCAAGCCCGAGCGCGGCAGGGGCTCCAGCGGGGCGGGGGGCGGGGCATCCCTCCCCGGAGTGCCACGCACCTCCCACTGTCCTCTGCCTGCACCCAGCGCATCCTAGAGCTGGTTGGCGTCGGGGACCCCCAGGGCCCATGGCTCACCAGAGTGAACACCAGGTAGTACAAGGCTGTGGTAGGCAGGAGGAACACCAGGATGGTGAATAGCAGGGTCCCAATGAAGAGCTGTGGGGAGGGGCCCGGCCGTGAGCACCCAAGGACCCCTCCTGAGAGAGCTTGTGGGGGAGGGGCCCGGCCATGAGCACCCCAGGGCTGGGAGGGCCCTGTCTCATGTGTCAACACCTGTAGCTGTGGGCTCAGTGACGGGAGAGACCAAGGACAAGCCACTGAATGCAATCCCATTTTGAGGCCAGGTTTGCATGGACGTCAGGACAGCATGCCCCAACTACATCCCAGCCAGCCCCATGATCACTGCAGGCGGGGCCCTGGGTGCTCCACAATGCTCGGGCAGCTACGCCCAGCCAGGCTGGTGACATCTGACCTTGGAGGGACACCCCAGGGTCACCCAAGCCAGTTGGGGCCTGTGGCACCAGCACCTGGTCCAGGTCATAGGAGCAGGAGTCCACACGCTGCCTCAGCACATTCCACTTCTTCCCTCGGAAGAGGCGCCAGAGGGAGGACAGGCCACGGGTCTTCAGGGAGTAGAGCCTGGGGGTTCAGGGGCCCACAGTGAGGACCTTTGGTCGTCAGGGAGTAAAGCCTGGTGGGGTGGGGGCGGTCAAGGGCGTGGGCAATTGGGGGGGCACATAGCCAGGGGCTGGGGGTGATCAAGGGTGTGGGCAGTTGGGGGCATGTGGTCAGGGGCTGGGGGCAGCTGGGGGTAGGACAGGGCTGGGAACCTGATCTGTAGCCATGGGGTGGGAGGGCCCCCACCTGGCACCATAGACATAGAAGCAGTAGATGTGGAAAGTGAGGAGGGCCGTGATGTCCGACAGAAGGGACAGGGCCACTGTGAGGCCCAGGCAGGCGGAGAGGCCCACGTGCCACAGGATCCGCTCAACGAAGGGTGACATGAGGTGGATGTAGCCTGCAAGGGACCAGCAGCCTGAGCAGGCCTTCTGGGGGTGGCTGAGGGAGTCCTGCACAGCTAGGGCACAGCATCCCCTAGGCACTGCCTATCCACAGGTGGACGTGGTAGAGGATGCAGGGCCCCCCCACAGACAGACACACACCACACACTCCCCTATCACAGGTGCAGGATGGTGGAGGACTCACTGCTGCACAGGTGGACGTGGTAGAGGACAGACACACACACACACACACACACACACACACTGATGCCCAGGTGGACATGATAGAAAACGGATGGGCGGGGACACACACACACACACACTCCCCCATCACAGGTGCAGGATGGTGGAGGACTCACTGCTGCACAGGTGGACGTGGTAGAGGACACACACACACACACACACAGACCCACTGATGCCCAGGTGGACATGACAGAGAATGGACGGACGGACACACACACATGCACACACACAGAGACCCACTGATGCCCAGGTGGACATGATAGAAAACGGATGGGCGGGGACACACACACACGCACACACAGACCCACTGATGCCCAGGTGGACATGACAAAGAATGGACGGACACACACACACACACACACACAGAGACCCACTGATGCCCAGGTGGACATGATAGAAAACGGATGGGCGGGGACACACACACACACACACACTCCCCTATCACAGGTGCAGGATGGTGGAGGACTCACCGCTGCACGGGTGGACGTGGTAGAGGACACACACACACATACACACACACACACACTGATGCTCAGGTGGACATGACAGAGAATGGACGGATGGACACAGACACATGCACACACACACAGACCCACTGATGCCCAGGTGGACATGACAGAGAATGGACGGACGGACACAGACACATGCACACACACACAGAGACCCACTGATGCCCAGGTGGACATGATAGAAAACGGATGGGCGGGGACACACACACACACACACACACTCCCCTATCACAGGTGCAGGATGGTGGAGGACTCACCGCTGCACAGGTGGACGTGGTAGAGGACACACACACACACACACACACACACACACACTGATGCCCAGGTGGACATGACAGAGAATGGACGGACACACACACACATACTCACTGATGCACACGTGTACGCAGTGGTGGATGTATTCTCCCCACCCCCACCCTGCAGATCCACAGGGGACACAGTGGAGGAGGAAGCCCCCCACCCCCACACTCACTGATCCACAGGTGGATGTGGTAGAGGAAAAAGCGGCCTAGCACCTGGTCCAGAGCCCGGTTCATCTTGAGCCCGGCAGGTGCGCCCATCAGCCACTGCAGCAGGTGCTGAAGCTCCTCGGCCACACGCTGCAACCACAGGGCAGGTGGGCAATGGCTTCCTGACACCACAGCTCCCTGCGGCCCCAAACCCAGGCCTCACCCTGACCACCCTGTGGCCAAGGAGCCCCTTCCACACAGTGGGGCAGCTGGGGCAGGGCAATGTGGTCAGGAGAGATTTCTGGACCGGTTTTAACTAGCAGAGCACTTCTGGGGCCAGCAGGGCCCCTGGCCTATGGGCACCTAATCAGAACACAACCCCTCTCCTCCCTGCTGGCCGCTGGCCGCAAGACCAGATATCTAGCTGGACAGACCCCACTCCCAGGACACCCCATCCCTCAGAGGCCCCAAGTGGTGACCACATGAGCATGAGGTGTCCAAGGACCCAGGCAGCAGGGCAAGACCCCCCTGGAGAGGACAGACGAGGACTTCAAAGCCCAGACCCTTACAGCAAACAGGAGCTGTGGAGACCACCCAGAGGGCCTGCACCACAAGGCCGTCAACAGCAGGGGCCGCAGGAGCGAGCTCCCCACCGTGCCTGGCAATTCAACTGCACCCGGGCCTCCTGGCCACATCAGACAGCCCTTGCAGCCCCAAGAAGAGTTAGAACAGTTCTTTATAAATAGACCTTGTTTAATATTTAAAGGGCAAGAACCCGCGGTGGGGAGAGGCTTTCATTCTTCAATTAAAGATTTATGTTTCTGAGCGCTTGTGCAGAGGAGGGCCAGGCAACGGCACCCAACACGGAGCAAATGTGCATCCGTGCGTGAGCAGGGGCCCGCCGTGCCCTCCCGGCCCTCTGCTCCTAGGTGGGCCCCCTGCTCTGTAGGGGCTCACAGCCTATGAGTGGCCTGAAGCAGGCCCAGAACACGCCGCAGCCTGACACAGGGCCCGGGAGACAGCTGCAGGCCAGCGGGCACCCTGAGCAAAGACGAACTCCCAACAGGGCTGAGGGCCTGTGGTTCCGAGAAAGGGAGGCAGAGACGCCCTAAAGCGGCGAGCTGGTCGTGGGAGGCCTGGGATGGCAGCATGGGCCCACCCCAAGCGGCTGGCAGGGGGCTAAGGAGCAGGGAGAAGGGTGTGCAGGAGCCGTGACGCTGACCCCATAGAGGGCCAGGCCAGAGCCAGGGAAGTGGGTGCGGTGTTGTTGGGGTGGGCTACCTCCTGGAGCTGAGGGAGTTGGGGCAGCCTACATCCCGATTGAAGGAGAGCTGACACGGCAGCAACCCCTGTCCCCACTCACGTCAGCCACAGGGACAAGAGCATCGGCCAGCTGCCCAATGTGGCCCTTCCCGTGCAACCAAGTCAGCAGCGCCAGGCCCAGGGCCACATCCAGCAACACTGAGACACACACGTTGGCCTTCCTGGGGGTGAGACAGGCGGTGAGAGCAGCCGGGTCGCTGCAGGGCGGGCCCCCGGCTCTTGGCCCACAATGGCGCCCACCTCATCAGCTGGGCGGGGTTCTCAGCCTTCCGGGTGCTGAAGATGAGTGACAGGTGCTCCAGCCGGTGCTGCACCTGCTTGCAGGTGGACAGCTTACTGCAGATGGAGGGCAATGGCCACAGCCGGAACAGCCTGCAGGTGACAACGGTGGCCCCTGAGGCCCTCCTGCCACCAGGGACTAAGCCAGCTCAGGGGCTGAACCCTCCCTCTCCTCCAAGCACCGAGGAAGGGCCACGCACCTGCCCTCAACCAGGGCCGCCCCGCTACCAAGCTCCCCAAAGCAGTACCTCCCAAAACAGCAGACCCCTGACAACACTTCCCACCACTAGCCAGTCTCACACCCAACCCCAAGGACTCTCTGAAGGAGAGACGGTGCTGCTGACGGGCTGGGTGACAGATCTCCTAGGGCAACAGAAGCACAAACACCCCCCAGACATGAGGACGTGGAGGGGAGAAGCGCCCACAGCAACAGCAAAGAACACGCCGGTCACACGTGGCTGTGGGCAGAGCCCTCGTTTAAATTCAAAGCCTGGCTGGGGGCCAAGGAACCTAAAGAACTTGGCCCACAGAAGCTGCTAACACCCCACCTGCCAGACCTGGGGCCGGGGGAGTGCTGGGCCTCCGAAGGCTATAAAGGCTTCATCGAGAGCAGAGCAGCTCTGACATAACTCCAGCAATGAAAGCCCGTGCACAACTGTCCCCAACTCCAGCCAGGAGGCAGGGGGCTGGCATCACACCACCAAGGCCATGGGCACCCGCGCGCTGGTGCCTGGGGAGGGCACGAAGCCACAAGCTGCTGTGCAGACAGCCCATCACACACTGAACATCCCAACACCAGTCTGTGCCGGGAGTGGTCCTAATCTTCCTGGGATCCCTGAAGACCCAAAAACCTCCTCTGCACAGACACCCTCAAAGGCACCTCTGAACCCCTCATGTTAAGCTCCCCCACAGGCCAGTCTCAGATACAACGGGGCAGCACCACAGGATGTGCGGTTCCTGGAGGCAGACGACTGACGGCCAAGCCCTGGACAGCTGCTCCCTGTGGGGGTGCCAGTAGCCAAGCTTTGGACCACTGCCTGTCCAGGAACTGTTGATGACTGCGTCTCCCTGGGTGCCTCTGGGGACAAGTAACCCCCAGGCAGGCAGACACTGTCCATCATCTGCCTTCTCTCTCGAGCCCGAGACCCCTGCTCAGGGCCTACCTGCCTGGCTCTGCCCCTGGCCACAGCTTCCACTGGGAGGTGCCCCAGACTGCTTGCTGGGGGATAGCCTGGGCCAAACCTTGCCTCCCCACCCCCCCGGGGGCAGCACCCAACCCCTCCCTCCCTCATACCCCAGGCACCCACCGGCAAGCGCCCACAGCTGAGAGGAGCGACAGCAGGAAGCTGAACAGCAGGCAGGTGGGCCCGGCGGCCTGCTTGGCCAGCTCAACCAGGATGCTGGCCTCCACACCTTCGGACTGCCAGTGGCTCAGCCTTACTGGCCCCTCGTGGAACCTGTCACTGCGGAAGAGCGCCTCACTGCGGGCCACCGTGTCAAAGACAGCGGCCAGCCCCCCGGCACTGGCCGGCGCGTCCCCCGCCTGGCGGTCAGGCAGGGCTGCAGGCGGGTGCAGCTGGGACAGCAGCACCTGGCGCTGGTCGTAGAAGATGAGCATAACCTGGTCCTGGCCGGAGGCACCGGGGGACATGGGCCGCCAGATGGCCTTGCAGCTCCAGAAAGTGCTGCCCCGCTCCCGGCCCAGCTGCAGCCAAGGTTCATGAGAGAAGACAGCAGCCAGGCCCTCCAGGAAGTGGCCCAGGCCCTCCTCCGGCTCCTGCCGGTGGTGGCACCAGGTGCCCAGCACGGCCACACCCACCCGGCTGGCCTGCCGCACCTGGGCCAGGAGATGCTTGACCTGGATGGGGATGAAGGGGAACTGCAGCACGGCCAGGACCACGGCGCTGCTCTGCTCCGGGACCCACCGTCCGACCAGCAGGCCGCTGTCCACCGAGGCGCAGCATGTGGGGAAGAAGGCCTTGAGCGCCATGCCGGGGGCCCTGGAAGAGAGGGGGATTGCTGCCACCTCCAGCAGGGCAGGGAGGAGCACTGGGCAAGGTGGCACAGGCTGGAGCCAGAGCCCAGACAGGCAGAGACAGCCCTGACGGATGCTGTCTGGACCTGGCCAAGGGCCACAGTGGGGGCTGTGCCACTTGGAGCCTTTGCCGGCCCACTGCACACAGGCTGGCTGTGTGGGTGACAGACCGCCACCTCACCTCTGTCCGTCTTGGCCCCATCCACACCCCGGGCTGCACAGACACCCTCAAAGGCTCCACACAGTACACTCAGTTACGCCAGGGCAGGGGGAAGTGTTTTAAAGCCTAAGGTGAGGCTTTTCATTTTTGCTTTTAAGGACCCTGAGTGGGTTTCTCACACAGAGCACATGGGAAAATTGTTTCAGACGAAAGAAGTGCAGACTGCAGGTCTCGGAGCAGGGCTGACATCGTAGGCAAGGGCGGAGGCGGGATTCCATCCTGCACGGCCACGCCCAAGCCCCTGCCCGGTCACCAGCCAGGTTGCAGGCCAACGTGTCACCTCTCCATGTCAGAGGCTTCTGGCCCCAGCTCTGACCTGCACCCCACCTCCTTCAGGTCCTGGACCTCTGTGTGCCTGTTATCCAGGGCCCTGTCTAGAGCTCCCCAGAAAGGGAGGAGGGAGGTTGCAGGGTCTCTGGAGATGGCGAGACGTGTGCCCTTCTTCCAGGAGGGTCACTCCGGCTGAGAACCTGCTTCCATCTCTGACTACCTACGTGACCTTCCTGTTGCGGAAGGCCTGCGCTCGTGGGGGACCGCGTGCCCTGAAAACCCCTCAGCAAACCCCTGTGCCGGGGCAGAAGGAACCCCGGGCGGTGGCCAGCCCAGCGCTCACACTCCCCTGCAGACTCGCTTTCTCTGGCACCCGCTGCCCGCATTTCACCGCACAAGGGCAAGACCAGGACCCCTCCGCGTGAGGCCTCCAGCCCCAGTGCCCACGAGATGCCCTGGACACATGCATCACACACAGGCTCCTGACCGCTGGGGGCGCTGTGCAGGCCTCAGACAGACACAAACGCGCCTGGCCGCCCCTGCGCCTCCCCACAAGGCCTGGCAGGAAGGGGTCGCGCCAAGTGTCAGGACTAGAGCAGTGCCCTCCAAGGGCCGTCCTGTCCACCCGGGCGCCCTCAGGGCAGGTGCCCACGGCAGCTGGAAACTAGGGCACACGCTCCGTGTACGTCCCTGGGGTGTCAGGAATCATGCACAAAGTTCACCCAAAGGCGGGAGGGAGGCCCCTCGCGCCTGAGAAGGGCGGGGAGCGCAGGGCAGAAGCCGCCCTGGGCGCTGAGAGGGAACTCAACTCCCATCCCGGCTCCCACCAACGCCTCTGGGAGCCGCTGAAGCCCAAAAGGAGTCGGCTCGCTCGCCGGCTGCAGGGATCAGACGGAACAAGATGAAAGCGCCCCAAGATCGATAGCCCGGGAGCGGGAAAGGAGGAAGCGGCCAGAGCCTGGCCGCCGCGCGCGCGTTCCAATGCCCTGCTGCAGAGACGCGGGCTCTGACGGCGGCCCCGGGAGACAGCGCGAGGCCGGCAGAGGTCTGGGCGTCCAGCCCCTCGCCCAGCCTGCAGCCCAGGGCTACCTGGCCAGGCCCGCGCGGCCGGGGGACTCCGGGAAAGGCGCAGGGACACGGCGACCCTGCTCGCAGCGCCCCGCCCCCCGTCCAGGGCGCCCCCGCGACGCTTCCTGCTGCGGGCAATGATTTCCCAGTGAACGCGCCACCGCGCGGCGCCTGCGCAATGCTCTCCCAGCAGGCACTTCGCAAGGCGGCGCGCCCGTGATGGCCCGGCCCTGCACGTCCGGGCCGCCGCCAAGGGAAGGCCTCCCCAGGTTCCACCGCCGGCCCCCAGAGCGCACACCGGCCTTCCCGGCGCGGAGGAAGCCGACGGGACGGCCGGGCGGCGGCCCGTGGTGACCCCATGTCATGGAGGAGGACACACAGGCTCCGCGGAGAGAACGGCCGCCCGCCCGCCGAAGCCAGGACGTTCGGAGTCCCAGGGACCCCAAGGTCGCACCGCAGGGCCCGCCCACGCCCTCCGCTCACCGGCTGCTCCCCGGGCCTGCGCCCTCGGGCGGCGGGTTCTGAACCGGGTTGGAGACCGCGTTGGGCGGGCCTGGGCGGACGGCGGCGTTCACAGCCCCCAGCCCCGCGGCGGCCGCGCCGCGGGACACGAGCCCCATTTGCGCCGCTCCGCCGTTGCCCGGCTACGGTCCGGCCTCTAAAGGCACCCGGGCTGCCCGCCGGCCGCGCCCGAGCGTTCCGCGCGCGTGACGTTTGCCCCCGCCCCCGCCCTACTGCAAGGCCCCGCGGCCCCTCTGCAGGCAGCCGCCGAAGTCCCTGAGCCCCGCTTCTGCAGCTGTGGCGCGGGTAGACTCTGACAATGAACAGAAAGGACAGTCACTACAAAGCGGGAATAGGTGAGCTTTGGGGGACAGGGTCTGAGTGGGTCTGCCTGGGGTCATTGACCCCAGGGCCGACAGCACCCCCAGCCCCAAGCTAGCCCCTGCCACACTGCTGCCTGCAGAGGGCCCTCCAGACCCCCGGGGGCAGGACGGGTGCAGCGGGAAGGTGGAGCCTGATGAAGTTGGCCCACTGCTGGCCAGTGACCGTGCAGACCAGCACCCTGTTTCCTCCTGCTTTATGTAACAGCACCCCAAATACAGCGGCAGCAACTAACGTTTATTGAGCTCTGTGTCCTGCATGCTTGCGCCCCTCCCCCCCGCTGGCTGGGACATACTGGGGGGCCCAGTGTCCCAGAAGACATGGGCACCCTATTCCCAGGTGCAGGGACCCCAGGTGCAGGGACAGACCCTGCACCAACGCCAGGGATGCCCCATCCTTGCCCCTCCCCCTCCTCCCCCGAGGACCTCCTCCTGAAACCCGGAGCCTGGCTGGATCCTGGCCTCACCCCCACTCCTTGGGGGCCTCATTTTCCTGGCTATGCTATCTCTTTTAAGCAGCAGGAGTTTGTCCTCACAGGACACCTCTCCAGGGCCTGTAAGGCTGCCAGACCCTCCCAACCTCCACCTCCTTCCCTGGACCCTGGTGGAAGGGTGCCTTGGAGCTGTCTGTCCCCATCCATGGTGGGAGACATGGAAGAGGGACACTAAAGTTTTAACCCCAGCCACATGCTACCCCCAGGGCACTTCCAGGGCTTCCCTGGCAGCCCCCTTACCTCTGCCAGGTTCAGAAAAGCTGCTAGAGGCTTGGCACCCTGAGGGCCTTTGAGTTTGGGAAGCTGAGGGGCCTCTCCCCCGCCTGAAACCACCAGCTCTTCCAGCCACACCCTCCCTGCCTGCAACTGTCTGATTAGGGGCAGACCCAGCTGGGTGAGGCTTGGCGCCTGGTACTGGCATGCTGGGCAACATGGAGATGGCATGGGCTCCGAGGCCGTGGTTGGGGTGAGGGAGGCTGGGAGGCAGCTGTGGATGAGGTCCAAGTCCTCCTCGGTGGGGGGTGGGTGTGGTGCTCAGCTGCCACTCACTGGTGCAACCCTGGCTCTTCCGCCAGCCCGCCCGTCAGGCCCATTCTGTGTGGTACTCAAACACCTTGATGTAGCTGTCCCCAGCGTCTGCCACCATGAGCCGGCCCTGGGGCCCACAGGCCACACCAGAGGGCCTCCGCAGCCCCTGGGACACCAGGCAGACGGGTGCTCCCGTCCGAGGGAACAGGGTCACCTGGTGTCGCTGCTGATCTGCCACGATGACGCTGCCCTCCGAGTCCAAGCACACGCCTGCCGGGCTGCCGAAGACATGCCCTGTCTGGCCACCCACAGAGCCCAGGGGCTGACGGGTGCAGCCAAACAGCCGCACGTCCCCACACTCCTCACTCACAGCGATGCCCCCGTCTGACCCCGCGCCCACCCAGCAGGGGCCTTGCAGACCCAGCATGGAGGCAGGGGCCCGGGTCTCCAGGGCAGGGCCCAGGGTGAAGCTGTGCACAGCCCCGAGCACGTAGTCTGTCACCAGGAGGCGGCCGAAGGCATCCACAGCCAGCCCTCGGGGAGACTGGAAGGTGCCCACGGTCACCCAGCGGCCCTGGGGGGCCCGGGTGGTGTGCTGCAGTGCCCGGACAGCCCCGTGAACAAGGTCACTGACCACCACGAGGCCTGAGGCTGTCACGGCCACATCCTCTGGCACAAAGGCCCCGGCCCCCCGCACACAGCATGGCAGGCAGCAGACGATACGGCCCTCCAGGTCTAGCACGTGGACGCAGGGTGCAGACCCCGCGGTCAGGAAGAGCAGGCCATCTGGGGTGCAGTGCAGGCCCCGGGGCCCCCCCGCAGCCCTCACAGGCACTGGGATCTGTCCCAGCAGCCGGGGCCGCCGGGCGAGAGTAAGGCCTCCAGTCCGGTCCATTGTGAGACGCAGCGGGGCCTGTGGGCAGTCCGGAGGCGGGGCAGGCGACTCGCGGTCTTCTCCGGGCTCTGGTTTGGTGCTTGGCCGCTGGTGGGCTGCGAGGGTGACATCAAGCCCTCCGTGTACGCCCAGGCGCAGCAGCCCAGGTCAGTAGCACCAGGGGGGCTCCCCACCCAACAAGGTCGAGAGGTGTCCGTGCCAGAGCCAGAACTCAGCTCAGCCAGGCCCTTGCCCAGTCCCCAAGCCCAGTGAGCACCACTCCCAGAAGCCCCATCTACCCAGGTGTAGTGATGCTTGGCTGGAGGTGGGGCTGTGGGTCCTGCCTCTGAGCCCCTGAAGGGGCTCCTGGCATCACGGTGTCCTGAGTAGGGGTGCCAATGAGGAGTTTCTTAAACTCATCCCACCACGGAACCCTTCTTACGTGCTGGGGAAGTGCCCATTCATGGCGGCGGGCCCAGCCTCCAGCCCCACCCACACACAGTCCCTCCATCTGGGACCCTGTGTCCAGGACCCCTGGAGGGCCTTGGAGGGTCTCCTACCTGGAGCCACTCCTTCAGCTCCGGGCTCCACGGCCACAGCCTCTGTTGTTGGAAACCGGAGCCCAAGGGCCAGGAGGAGGTGCCCAGCAGGTTCCCACAGGGACGGGGGGGGGGGCGGCAGGCTCCAGCAGCCACGTTCAAGCTGCTGCTGGAGGAAGCTGTAAAGTGCACGTTGGCTTGTGCCGCTTGGCTGCCTGCCTCCAGGCCCCCAGTGCTGCCTCGGGGCCTTCAAGCTGCTGGGCCCTCAGCCCGGGGTGTCCCCTGCCCCCACTGCTGGACCCCCGGTGCCTGACTCAGAGCTGCCCACAGTCCCTCAGGATCCTCTGAGATCCACCCACCCCATGCGTGGGGTGGCCCAGGCGGTGGGGAAGGGTCTGCACCCCCGCCCGCCCACTGGGTCACATGGGGACGACTGGACAGGGGCCCCCTCTCTGAGAAGTTGCCTGCAGCTGTCAGTACTCAGCCACCTCTCCACCCAGTGGGGTCACTGACCTCCAGGTGGTGAGACATCGGAGTGCACCAGACACATGGGGGTGACAGGAGGCCAGAAGGGGCAGGTCCACTCAGATCGGGGCCTGGGGTTTGTCCCTGTACTCCACTGTTCGCAGCCCGTGAGGACTGCTACAGCCCACCCAGCGCTGCCCGTGGCCCTGTCTGTGACCCACAGTCCCACTCGCCTGGCTGCCCGGAACCCCAGCATGGATGCCTCTGGCCGGGGGCAGGCGTGATGCTATCACGGTTAATGGTGCAGTCCAAGTCCTGTGTGGACCGGCCCCGGCCCGGACAGCCCAGTCTCAGCTCAGGGTGCGGACACAGGCAGGAGAGGGCCCCAGGGCCAGTGCTAGGTGGGCTTGGTGGGTGCGGCTCAGCTCCCCAGAGGACAGGTGATCAACTGTGCCCCAGGGTCCCTGGGGGCCGCCCCCGTCCCCACCCCCAGCCTGTGGGAACAGCTAGGCCGATGATATCGGCTGCAGGCAGTCATCTGTGAAGGCCACCAAGGCCCGAGGTGGCTGCAGAGGCTGGCGGGGGCCCAGCACAGCTACGCTGGATAGAGCAGCCTAGGCCTTGGAGTCGGGGGCGGGGGCCGGGGGGCACTGCCTCGCATGAGGAGGCAGCCTCCGGCAAGACTCAGACTTTAGGGTGACCGTGCCCTGCCAGCTGTGGGGGCTGGGGGCATCCCTCCTGGCACCATATGGACAGACTGAGCTGTCCCAGGCAAGTCTCAACAACGTAGCCCTGCCGGCCTCCCTCTGTTCCCTCCCCCACTCCCCTGCCCCGGGCCACACACACCCCAGGCCCTGAAGGAGGTCTCAGCTTGCAGGAGGGTAAGAGTCCAGAGGTGGGCCCCTGGCAGCCTGGGGCCCCATCACGTTGCTGCTGGGACACCCGGGGCCCTGCCCACCCAGGGGCTACTGTGGGGGCCCTGACCAGGGGCACGCATCTGGGCGCTGAAGGAAGGAGACGGCGGGAGGCGTGTGAACCGGTCTCTATTTCAACTTCCAGAACTTAATAATCAGGACCCTCGAGTCCCTGTGAGGCCCCACATACAGGCCTCGAAGCTGGCAGGTGGGTCTGTCCAGGTGCATGCTGAGGCCAGACAGGTTGGGGAGCGGGGTGGGGGGAGCAGGGACAAGCCCTTTGAGGACCAAGGTGGGTGGCAGGGAGGTCTGGTGCGGGGTCAGACTTTCGGATCCCCAGGGATCTGCAGGCCAGGGACAGCCTCAGGGGTCCGGGAGCCCCCTGCCATACTGAGGGCACCCCAGCCACCACAGGGAGCGACGTCCTCGGTGGCAGGCAGGGGGAGGCCCGGGGGTGGGACGCTGGAGTCAGCCTCGCACTTGGTGGTGTGGCCAGAGAAGGGCTCAGTGACCACGGGGCCCAGTGTGTCGGGTGGCTTGGGGGTCCCATGGCCCAGCACGGGGCCCGGCTCAGGCAGCCCCCAGGCCCCCGTGGGCGGCTCAGGCCCCTTGGCGGGTACCCTCTTCACAGAGAGATCCAGGGGTGCATCAGGCGGGTGCACGGCCTGCTCCAGCGCTCGGTGGATATGCAGAAGTTCCTGGCGGATCTTACCCAGCTGTTCACGCAGGGGACGTGGCGCCAGGCTGCCTGTGGGTGCCAGCTGCCCCAGACACTGCTCCACACGTGCATAGTCACCCAGGGCCCTGGCCAGGTCCTCGCCAACATGCCCCGGGCTGCCAGGTCCCAGGCCCTGTGGCAGCTGGGTGAGGGGGCCAGTAGGGCCCAGGACCTCTGGGTCGAAGGGCTCCTTATCTTCGGTACAGAGCATTGCAGGGGACCTGGATGGCAGGCTGGGAGTGAGGGACCAGTCAGGAGGTGGTCCCAGCCCTTGCCTCCACTCCCAAGACTGGGCCAGCTTCTGGGAGCCCCCTGGCCCTAGCCTGCCACCTGCTGCCCCAGGGACCGGGAATAAGGCCTTGACCTGGAGACCAGCCCTCCAGTCTCGGTTTCCGCTCTGCGGCTTCTCCTGTCAGAGACTGTGGCCCTTCAGCCCCTCCCCCCAGAATCAGGGCCCCTGACACCCACCTGCTCTGGTAACCAAGCTTGGCTATGCTTGGAACCTTCCGGAACTCCAGCCTGCTTCCTGGGGGCGGCTTCCTCGTTGGGTTCTCCTGAGCACCCTGCTCCAGCTCTCCCTCCTGCCCTGGACCCCTGGGGGTGGCTTGGGGCCAGGGTCCCCCCACCCCGGTTACGGATACCTTCAGCAGCCCGGAGGCCAGGGTCCCAGGGGGTCTGGGGGCAAGGGGAGCCTTGGAGAAGGTGGCCCTGCCTGCTGGCAGCCCCAGGCCGTGTTCCAGGACCAGAGGGTAGTAGAACTGGGGAGCCAGGGCTGGGCGCTCGGCGGGCTGCGGGGCCTGGAAGGCAGGGCCCGGGGGCAGCAAGGGGCTGGCCGAGGCCAGGAAGGGCATGTGGGTGGCGGCTAGCGAGGGTCCCAAGTAGGAGAAAAGCCCTGGGCTGAGCGGGTAGTTGACGCCCAGCAGGGACAGTTGGAGACTCTGGGCCTCAGGGACCTCACTGAGGGCGGGTGGCGGGTAGCAGGGGGCGCTGCCTTCTGGGCCCGTGGAAGCCGTGTCCCCGGGGCGCCCGCATGGCCCAGGCTTCCATGACTTGCCCAGGAGGCTGCCGGCTCCTGGACCCTTCCTGGAGGCCCTGGCGGCGGGGGGCGGCGTCCCCGGGGTGCCCTCGGCCCCAGGCTTGGGAGCCCCAGCGCAGCGACGTAGGGACAAGCCGTCCGCGCCGACGAGGTCGGGAGCGGCGGGGATGGCGCGCTCGCCAGCGCGGTGGGGGCCGGGCGCGCGGGGCCGGGGCGCGGCTGGGGCGCGGCGGCACGCCCAGTCCGGCGAGTCGAGCAGCAGGGACAGGGAGTCTTTGCAGAGGCTGTACTTCATGTGGTTGTACAGGTGCGACTTCTCCAGGCAGGTGAACGGGCACTGGAAACACTTGTAGTTGTACGGCTTGCCCCAGGGGCGCGGGATGTAGTGCGGCTTCTTCGGCTTGCGCGCCCGCGCGCCCGCGCCCGCGCCCGCGCCCGCGCGCCACGCCCCTGCCTCGCGGGACATGGCAGGCTGCTAGCGGGCCGGGCGGGCCACCATGGCCACCTGGGGACAGGGGCCAAGGTCAGCGCTCTCCACCCCCGACCCGCTTCTGCTCCCTCCAACGGCTCCGGGGCCAGTGGACAGAGCCCAGGGCCAGCCATCACCCAGACACCCTCTCCCTGCAGGCGCCTGTGGGGCCCCAGGATGACCAGCGCAGCAGACATGGGATGCCCTGCACACCTGCCTCTCAGCTGCGCCCGAATGGCTTTTTAGTGTGACTGTAACCCATGCAAGGACATTTGGTGGCGAGTTAGCACTCGGCTGCTAAGGAAAATGTCCGAGGTTCCAACCCACCAGTGGGAGGAGAAAGATGAGGCGGTCTGTTTGGTAAAGACTGACGGTCTTGGAAACCCTACGGGCAGTCACCTCTGTCCTGCAGGGCTGCTATGAGTCACATTCGTCTCGGTGGTGGTGGGTTTGTTTGCTTTGGTGGCCAGAGGGAGGTCTGGGGCTTGCACTAGACTGTGTCTGCCATGCATCGGGTATTTAATGCCACCAGGTGTCCCAGCTGCCCCTGCAGGTCCATTTCTGGGGTGACTTAATCCACACCCGTCTCCCTCGGAGGGATACTTGTGACCAGGGCTCATGGACTCCCAGCTTGCTCCCCCACAAGAGACCCTGCCCACCCTCTCTGAGTTCCCACCCATCTGGGAAGCAGTGTGATAAAAGCCACCAGACAAGAGCCGAGCAGAGGGTTCAGAGCTCTGAGGGGCAGCAGCTATGGCTATGCAGTGTGTGTATGTGTACGTGTGTGTACACACGTGTATATACCATATATGTGTATACATGTAGATACGTTTATATATGTGTTTGTACATGAGGTACTTGTATGGATGTGTATGTGTGTATACATTGTATATATGTGTGCGCACACGTGTATATGTTGTGTACATGTGTGTATATGTTGTGTACGTGTGTCTATGCATTGTGAATATGTGTGCATATGGACACATGTGTATACGTTATGTATGTGTGTACACGTGTGTATACATTGTGTGTGTACATGCACATGTGTATATGTTGTGTGCATGCAGTTGTGTACACATATGTATGTGTGTGCATGTGTGTGTATTGTGAATATGTGTGTGCATGCATATATGTTTGCATTCTTTGCATATGTATGCACACATGTGTGTTGTGTATGGGTGTATATGTATATACATATGTCTTTGTATACTGTGTATTTGTGTTCATGTCTATATGTTTTCTGTTGATGTGTGTGTATATGTGAATAGCAAGTCCAACATGGTGGCGGGTGGGCACAGGGGACTCTCAGGGCTCAGCCACACATGGGGCTGGACCAGGCTGGGGGGAGTGGACGTCACAGCTCGGCCCCCACACACGGCCACCTGCTCAGCCCAGCTCCATCTGGGTGGCTTCAGGCAGGTCAGTGGCCAAGGCCTGCAGCGGACGTGCTCGGCCAAGACCCTCCTCCCCATGCCCGCCTGCCCACACTCAAAGCCGGCGCCACACTCCATCTGGGCCACCACCTGGGCCGCCCTCCTGCCCCTGTGCGAGCCTGTGCAGGGCACAGTGTGTGTGTGCAGTGTTGGATGCGGACACAGGCACGCAGAGCCTCCACTCACTGGGTCGTCTCAGAACCATGCACCCAAGAGCAGGGCAGGTGGGGAGCACAGGGGGGCTCGGGCACACACATACACATGGCTCACACCCCATCATGGCACATGGATAAACTCAGCACACATACAGACACACTCAGGCTCACACTTGATCATGGACACACATACACACCCAGGATACACAGAGACACACACAGGGGCTTACACATGGTCACACATACATACACACACACCACACTCAGAAACACACGCGGTCAGGGACACACACACACCTGAGGTCACACACAGACACACACAGGGACTCAGTCACACACACATACACTCACAGGGACTCACACACAGGTCACACACACAGGGGCTCATACATGGTCAGAGACACACACCTGAGGTCACAGGCATACACACACAGGGACTCACACACAGTCACACACACATACCCAAGGACATGTGCAGGGGTTCATACACGGGTCACACACAATACACAGACACACAGGGGCTCATACACACACTCCCAAGGGCACACTCAGACACACACAGGGACTCATGCATGGCCAGGGACATACACATCTGAGGTCACATGCAGTCACACACAGGGGCTCACACATGGGTTGCACACACACATCCAAGGACACACACGCTGATACAAAGACTTACAGTCACTCCCAAGATGTCCACAGGAGCCCCCACACCCTCAAGCCCTGTCCCACGTTCATGGCAGCCAGGGATCGGGTCAAGCAGGGGGTGCTGGGGCCACTACAGGCCCTGGGACCCCGCTGTGGGATGGCTGGGGGCCCTGAGGCAGGTGGGACTGCTGGCTGGGTCTGCAGTTGTCCTCCGTGGAGTGGAACGGGTGCGGTGGTGGGGGTGGGGCTGAGCTGTGAAGCCAGCCCCCACTCCCTGCCCCCACTGCCCCCCCAAGATGGGATGACAAATGCGTGTGTTGGCTCCGGCGATGGAGGCGGCTCTGCCGGGACCATCGATCACACAGCCCTGGGAGCCACACAGCTGTGCAGCCTGGTGCTGTGCTGTCCCCTCCTGCCAGGCCTGGACGCGGGGCGGGGGCTCCTCCCGGCTCCCCAACTTGTGCTTGAGCTGGGGTCCCTTCTAGGCTGGTGGCTGGTGGGAGTCACAGCTTCCCCTAGGCTCAGGCACCTGGGCGCTCGGTCCTGCCCTCAGTACCTCATCCAAGCACCATGTCCGCAGCTGCTGACCCCTGGGGACCCAGAGGACACGCAGCACCCCCTGTGCACAGAATCGGGGACCCCAGAGGTGCACCCACACGTGTGCACACACCCAGCCTACCAGGGGTGCTCCCAGGCGGCCGGCACCATATGCCCTGGACGCCTTCCAAACAGACCCTTCCCTGGCGGGGAAACGTGCCCCGGCACTCCCAGACCCCCAAGACGCAGCCGAGCGCCAATCGCACCGTGCACGTCCCTGTCAGCCCCTGGGACTTAGGGAGCCCGCACACGGAGGCGAATTTGGGCCGGCGGAGCCCGGCACCCCGGGCCCCACCTCCACCCCCACCTCCTCGCCCATCCCCGCCTGCGCCCCGGGGGAGTCTGTCCTACCTGGACCGGGCTGCTGCAGACGGCGCCGGCGCCCGGGCGCAGGGACGCGAGGACGTGGGACCGGGACTGCCCCGCCGCCCGGACCTGCCGCGCCCGCCCCGCCCCGCGCGTTGCCCAAACTTCGCGGATGCGCCCAGGCGCCCGGCGCGGGGGCCCGCCTCCCAGCTGGCGGCACCCCGAGGTCTGCCGCGGGGGACCCGGTGCAGGCGCACTGCGCCCCGCGCCTCCCCTTCCCTCTGTCCTGCCCCCCGCGCGACCCCGACCCCAGCACCCGCGCGGCTTGGGCTCTCGGGTGGCAAGGAACCCCGCAGGGGAAACTGAGGTCCGGCGCTGGGGGCGAGCCCCCGGGCCTGCGGTCACTCACGCGGCTGCG